CTGACGGAGCTTTTGGTGTTGCTCAACGTCARCTTACACATYCGTATAAGCTTTGCGAGGTTACCAAGTTTAAAATCGACGAAGAAGTGCTGTTTGTCGATCCTCTTTTCACGAATTAAATACTTAATTCCAATTGTCTRGCATGCTTTCGTCTGACCAAATTCTACAAAGAAGCTGATGCATGCTCAYCAGTTCTTCGCCGCCGTATTTKAATAGCTTGGCAGGCAATTCATCGAACCAACTCAAGTATGACAAGTCTAGAACTAAGGACTTATTAAGTAGGTCCGGAAATAGTATATATATTACAAACTTACAGCTAATATATAAAGAAACTTACGTTTTGGAGAGCATTCATTAAAAATGGGTCCGGCTTATAAAAAACTTGTCACAACTGCAAACTCGAAGGGAATAAGAAAGGTTCTACACCTTCTCTATCAGTGCGGAGCTCTATCACAAGCCCAACATTGGGCTCTTGGAATCAATTAGGTAACAAATATGGAAAGGATGTTTACAGAAAGCTTAATGGACCTAAATAGTTTCATTGAGAGCATCAAATGGTTAGAGCGCAACRATGAAAGGAAAGCAGGATTATAAGGTCTTACGATAATGCATCAAACGCATCCGCTAATTGGACCCACGGTGACAGTACTCCTACCAACTTACATATAGATGAGACTTGGGTACTGATTACTTCCTACCTACATTAATCGTTCTGTGCCTGATGTTATATTAAAATAACCATTCGTGTTTAGTATACGCTTATTTTTCGGTGATAATTGTTTGTCGCGAGCAAGTGAGAAATGTGAAGGAACGATTGGTTCCACAATCACTTYCGACTACCAGGATGTCATGAAACGTATTAAAACTGGCGATCAGTCTTGGAGCTATGCTTACAATCCGGAAATATCAAACTGGCCGAATGTCGTGAGGCGAAGTCGAAAAAACCATGTCTAAGCAGGGACACAAAATCAAGGTTATGTTGRCAGTTTACTTCGGTTATCGAGGAGTAGTGCACTCCGAATTCCTTACGACCGACCAAACTGTCAACAASKAATACTATTTGAGWGTTATGCGTCGTTTGCGTGAAGCTATTCGTAAGAATAGGTCGGAATTATGAGCTGAAAACTCTTGGTCTGCATTGATTCTTCGTTCCTTTTTCGCTAAATTTTCAACCAATATCGTTCAGCAGCCAACGTCTTCGCCGAATTTAGCTCCGTATGACCTCAGRCTGTTCACCGAACTCAAACGACCATTCCGGGGAAATCATTTTGAGCCTATTSAAGATATTTAACTTGATTCGCTAAGCGCATTTAACCTTCAATTCCAGAAAAAGACTTTAGCAATTGGAAAAAA